GGCTCTAACTTGGCATCGAACGCAATTAGGGGATTATCGTATCATGTTTCAAGACGGGTATATCCAGATAAAGTTTGACGTGAACCAGGCTATAGAGCATAAACTCTCTTATGATCTTAACAAACCATCTACATGGCTATCTTTTAACAAACTTCTACTTAATCTTGATGAAACTAAAGCCATGCTTATTGGGACTGCACAACGTCTAAAATCTCAACGCACCATTAACATTTCTTTTAACCAACACGATCTTATTCAGGTCAATTCTCAGAAGCACATAGGAACTATTTTTTACGATAAGCTGACATGGCACCCCCTTTTAAAAAAAGCTTAGATCTAAACTTGGATTTTCCATCTCACTATATTTAGCACTTGCTAACAAATTTCTTAATATTGAAACCAAACTTATGATTCATAACACTATTATTCTTTCACACATTGACTACAGCTGGGGATCCAATGACAACTCATTCATCGATAAAATTCAACCCTTACAAAATCGTGCTTTTAAAAAAAAGCTTAGATCTAAACTTGGATTTTCCATCTCACTATATTTAGCACTTGCTAGCAAATTTCTTAATATTGAAACCAAACTTATGATTTATAACACTATTATTCTTTCACACATTGACTACAGCTGGGGATCCAATGACAACTCATTCATCGATAAAATTCAACCCTTACAAAATCGTGCTGTCTAGCTTTCAAGGCTGCCGCTGGTGTTGCTCCAGACTACCTTTGTAGGCCTAATTAATTTTCAATTATTCAGCGAGAAGGCACTCGGACTACTTGAGCAGTAATTGCTAGTACATTTTGTTATTCCATGACCAAAGTTTTAATATTTTAATAGTTTTCATTTTAGAACTATTTTAAAAAATTCAGTCAATACATACAGTATTTTTAAACGAAATCTTAAATGTTATCTAACGTCTAAACACTAATATTCATGTTTTGAATTACATATTTACCATTAAACCTTTGACTTTTTCAAATTTGAAATTTGATGATGTTTGCCTCTTATATTTTTGTATTATTCGTTCTTGTTATTGTTATTATTACAATTATTTTTATGGATCTATTTTTTTCATTAAAAAAGTTTATTCAAATTTCTGTATTTCATATATTTATTCCATGTTAAATTGAATTGTATTGCTGACTTTGTTATAGGGCTTATTCGACTGGTTCATTCCGTTGACTACGATTTTTGACGGTAAATTTCAGAAAATATACATTATAATATTTACCCACATGAAGTCAAAATATAATTGTAGGCTAACAGAATTCAAAAACTGGATGAAAATATTTTTTTTACGAAAACCCATACTGCCACAAGCCGAACCAACCTTGATTACGCAGCGTGTATCGCGGCACTATACTGCAATTTTGTTTGTCTAGTACAGTATTTTACCAGCTTTATTATTCGACTGGTCGTCTTTGTCAAGTACTGTAGGATTTTATCACTGCGCAGGTGGGCGTGGTTTAGCGAATAACGGCGAGCCATTGTTTTATGTTTGATGGCAAACAGCATTGCTGTTTCGGTCTACCCTCTTGAAATGGTTAAATAATTAATTAATTAATTAATGTTCATGATGGACTCTGACTCACTGAGATGAAGGCAACACTGGCTAGGTGAATGATATTTCTGATCTGGTGAACAAATTTCGCATCAACAAGACTATGGGGGATTATAATAACAATCTTCAGAATCGCATAATGCATAAAGATATTAAATGTCAAAGTAATTTCAGCGTTGGTGGTCTGGAATTACATGTTAAATTTATGTTTTGTATTATCTTTAATTCAACACTCCTGCAACAGAAACAAATATGAGCAGTAATATGTATGAATCACACTTACTGTAGTGATAAAAATTACTGTTATGCTTGTTGCAATAAGTATTGTACGGTATAAGGGCATCTGAATATCGCTTCTTCTGATCGTTTGGATAAACATTACTAAGCTCGATTTGATTGGTTGGACTCGATTCTCCGTCGACGTCACGTCAGCGCTTATCCTCTCCTCAGTTGAAGGTTGTGGTGAGTACGCGTTATTGACGTCATCATCAGGAACTTTTTCATCCGGACTTTCAAGGTTATTAATCATCTCTACAATCATGAGAGTAGAAAAATACCCGACGACCGAAAACATAGTAGGAACTACGCAAACTATGATATCTTTATACTGGGAATAGTTTACAAATGGAAAAAATGGAGATACGGCAAAACCTGCAATAAAAATAATAGAATAAAGGCCTGTTTATACTTCACCGATAACGATAAAAAAGCTAAAAAGCAATTGTTCATATAGAAAATAAAAGAAAGAAGTTTTTACGCTAGAACGATTTGATAACAATTTATCAGTATGCGATAACAACATATTTTGACAAATATCAGATGACGTCATAATCATGGAAAAACATTAAAATCGTAGTAGTAGCAACGATGTTATCGTTTTTCCATGATTATGACGTTATCTGATTTGCCTTGTTAAAATATTTTGTTATATTATACATGATAAATCGTTATCGAATCGTCGTAGTGTAAAAACTTCTCTTATTTATTTTGTTTTCCATATGAACAATCGCTTTTTAGCTTTTTTATCGTTATCGTTATCGATAAACAGGCCTTTATGCTAAGAATAATTGATATAATCACGAAGGTTTAGGCCACGACGACGGCGGTGATGATGATAGTCACTGGTGATTTTATTTATTATTTGATGTTATTCCTTCCAGTAGTAATACAAGAGAACAATGACAAGGACAAAGTTAGAGGGAGGTTGAGGGGCAAACGTACAAAAACTACTATGATGATGATATTATTTTGATGATGATGATTTATTGATTGATTGATACTGATGATGATGATGTCAACAATACTAATAATAAATAAATAAATAATGATAAATAATAATATTAATAAGCCTAATAATAATAATAATTTCACCTGTCGAATCTCATTTATTCTCCCAACCCCAACCCCCACCCCGCACACACACACACACACACACACACACACCTTTGGCGCCACCATTGGTTTTAAATAATAAAATGTGACATGTGGCATAGGACTTACCTAGTGTTACAACAAACAAAACAAAGCATATTAATGCAGGTGTATCTTTTCTAGTACGCCTCAGAACAACATCGGAGACAGTTAACCCCGAAGCGTTAAATAAGAATCCGTGGAAGATACCATACGTAAAGTATAATATGATAATTGGTTGCGTAAACGATGAAGGTATCACCAGAGCAAAACAGAAAAGAAAAACACCGATGGCAACTGTTATTAACTGGCCTAGTTTCTGGAAAAGACAAGCTACCACGATGGAGCACAAACAAACGGCAGCGATTGAAGTGACACTGTAGTCAGCTGAGGAGCAAAGAGAAACGTTATCAAGGCCATATCCAGGTTTGTCATGGTGAGGGGTGAGGGGTGGGGGGAGTAATGTACAAAAATGAATCAACTTTGGTACGGTTACGGGTCACCTAAAATTACTGACGGGGTCAAGGGGCAGAGCCAGTTTGATCGGAGCTTCGCAGTGGCGGGTCAAGGGGAACCAGTGACCTCATTCCACCCCCCCCCCTTTCAAATTAAAAAAAATCAAATAATAAAGGAGAAGAACAGAAAATTGTATTCAAATTTAAGTCTAAAAGTGCCATTTCTGGCCATCCAGAGGTGCCATAATCATAAACGTGGGGCTGATGTGTGTGGACTCAGTCTCTAGTTGTGAAAGTCCCTCATTGGGCCCCATTACGAATTCCTGTACCTGTAGCTGCCACTGTTTCGGTATTGTAGAGGTTGAAGAGGTTTAATCTCACGGTAGATTAAATATTGCTTCATCCCTCTCTTGGTTTAGCAGTGACTATAGCTACCCCACCCCTTCCCAGCCCAATATTCAGTAATGGGCGTCACGTGACCTAACTTTGGTGTTGGATGTGAACATTGGACTGGCACAGCGGTGTTGTACATGGCGATTGCAAAATGGATTGGAAATTTAATTTGAGAATGTTGCCTTATTGGTTTGCTAATGCCCAAACATTGAGATTTTTTCGACAAATGTTAGGCATATCCATGCCCTGTTTAGGTATACACGAGGGTCAAACCACGAACTACGCTACGATTTCTAGGCTAGCTAAGGTTTACGAAGAATCACATAAATTTCAAAGCATACAAAGTAAGGAAAACGCTAGAATTAAGTAAATAAACACTATTTTGAACAATCGTATTGCCTTTCCTTGCCATTTATTTCTCACGTTAACAGTGGGTGGTTGTTTCGAAACTTTACCTTTTTTTACACATGATCGCACTGTGGATTGGATTGGATTGGAATTATTCGGTAAAAACACAAAGGATATCCCACGAAAGTCTAGAAGAAGGCTTATTTCCAGTAGGGTCTGGTGGTGATTGGGCAGTACACCGGGAGACAATCCCCTACTCTTTTCCGATGAGTGTACTGCGTTCTTTAACGTTCACATGGGCCATAAATGCACACGGCACCAACGGCTTACACGTCTCATCCGAAAGACGGTGCGCTATTGTAACTTGTATTTCAGCCCTCCAGCTGAAACACAAGGAGAGGTAGCGATGGGAATTGAACAGGGGACCTACAGATCTCCACGGTTCAGCGCACACACAGTGGCTACCAAGACTAGCCGATTGAGTAAGTAAATGTTTCCCATGGTTATGCCCACCGTACGTTATGTGACCGGCTGTAAACAAACATCGCCGAATCGGTCTATTACACTTTTCTTAAATATTGTTTTTGCCTTGAGCATTATGATATATTTACTGATCCGTATACGACTACACACCTCATTGAGAAGAAGCCTCCTTCAAAATCCAATCAGTGGTCCACTGCTTTGTATTTGTATTGTATTCGTATTATTTGTATCTCTGAACTGTAAGGCCAACTTAGACAGCGTCGTACGATGCATCTCGACGCGATTTGTGTTCGCGTCGGGTCTGTGTGAGTTAAACGCAGACGCGTTTGCGTCGGGGGAAGTCGCGTCGTAGAATATTAAACATGTTTAATATTTCTCACGACGGCTTAAGACTGTCCCCGAAGATGAATCGCGTCGGGCTGCGCCGTACGACGCTGTCTGAGTTGGCCTTAACACATCAAATTGTAGAACAAAAGGAAACCATGCAATTTTCAATGAGCGAAGAGAAAATATTATGCTAATAGACCGCCAGAGCTCTATGGTCAATTTAACAATGGTTTGCTAGTTAAATTGTAAAAATTGAAGATTCCCTTTTGATTTTCACTACATGAAATTTTTTATTCAGTACACTCTTGACAGCCTTAAGAATGTGGAACTTTCCTATTTCGAGGATTTAGGGGAGTACGTACACACCCATCGAACTCCTTCTGGCGGCAGGCCTGATTTTTAATTGTAATTAAAAAAGAAAATCGTATTAATGTTACAAAATCACAATGTATAGGCATATTGGGATCAAACATTCCCATGACCGCGTGTGGCCTATCATAACATAACAATTAAATTGAAAGCATAAATTTAATGAGATAGAAAGCAGACATTTTCATCCCCACCCTCCCCCTCCGAACTACCTTATCTGCTGCATTCCATTTCTCAAAATAGATCCACCTCTGTTAAATCCGTTTTTCCAACCAACATTAATATTTAGCTTTTATAAAGTCGTTAGACGGAGGCTTCTATGAATGGATGTTTTGTTATGGAGCAGGTCTTCTCTGTATACATTACCGCCTGGTTAACTTAATTGACGTAAATATCTTTTTTTTAATTCAAAAGCTTCAATTTTGGTTTCATTTAAAAACAACTGACTTCAGAAACGAAACCCCACACATAGAGTTCCTATACTAGAGAGAGTTGCTACATGGCCGCCCATTGATCAGTGGTGCGTAGCCAACAAAATAATAAGCTTCGAGGGAAAATTAATCAACTGCATGTTACTTAAAAGTCAATAACTCCGTAACGAAGAATCGTATCACATTATTTTTTTTCTGGAAATGTTCTTAAAAGACTATTCTACACCACTATATAAGTTTTAAGAAATGAAAAAAAATGTTTCGACCTCTGCCACAAGATGGGAAAAGAAGAGCCTATCTAAATAGTGTATTAAAATAGGCCTCTGCAGTACAGTACGTAGGTAGGTAGTACTAGACTAGGCCTAGCTAGCTCTAAATTCGCGTAGTGCTTTTTCAGTTACCGTATGACTTACGGATTTCTCTTATTATATACTACTAGTTATTTTGGAGATACCCTCGGACTGGGACACTAGCTGAGGCGTGCCACAAACACCCATTTACTATACGAATTACTAATTTTCCAGTGAAAAGGACTAGGCCCTGTCGCCAACTATTTTATGAGCCGAGCAAACGCGATGTTGTTGTAGGTCTAAGGGCGTGTTTCTGCTGAAAAACGCCAAAAACACGTGTTATTTATAAACGGTTAAATTCCTTCTGAACGCGCGTTTCTAGTGAAAAGTGCAACTAATAAAAGCACGGTAGGCCTAATGCGAGCATTGGCGCGCAGGTGGGCGGAGCTTAAATGACGGTCACCAACGGAAGTTGAAGCTGACCTTACTTCTTGCGAGCTACAGCGCATGCTGCGAAAGAAGTAAACAACAAACCACGAAAGTATGAAAAAAGTATGGTATGATCTTCAAGCATGTCATCCTATTGGTTTAATTTTTTTTCTTCGCCCCGAATTTCCCGCGGACGTTCTTCTTTTTTTCTAGGTTTCTTCGTTAAATTTAATTTAATAACTAAATACATATTTACGCATAATATTTAGGCCTATATAAATATATAAATAAGTATATCATTTCGATATACATATTTACATGGTTTAACTGGACTCTCAATTAGGCCTGTGTATACATTGTGTCTGTACTTAACATAATTCAATCATATTGCTTTATTTAAATATTATCAAATATTATTAAACGTTAACGATTACATTATTTCATATAACGTATTTTTCAAATAAATATCTAAACAATTTCATTAGCGAAAAATAAACTCTGAAAGTAAATTTACGTAGATTAGATAAATAAAAATGGACATAGTAATCCTTATTATTAATCCTTCATTAACAATAATAACTTTTTCAATATTCTAATCAAATTTATATAGCCGGAGTTAGTTTCGACGCATGAAAAACTTGCAAGGTATACATTCTCCATCAAAAGGCATTTCTTATGAATGGAATGACCTGTTCAAAGCAGGAGCGGCTCTAGGATATAATTTTTGGGGGTGGGGGCTAAGATGTCCGACTGGAGGGGGACTAAGTATTTATGGGGGGATAAGTATGGGAGTAATTATTGCGAGCAGCGTTATCTGAGGGCCGAAGGCCTGAGCCGGGATTGGATTGGGGGGTGTGCCTTCCTCCCAAAACGAGATTTTTTTTTTTTTTTTAATTGGGACTTCTAGATGGCCGGAAATTGCACTGTCAGCCTTGAAAAATACAAGTTGATAATTAATATAAATTGTTAGTTGTTACTATATTATACAGTACTACTCTCAACTCAATAAACACGCATTTCATTGTACTTAATTTCAACTGGAACACTATTTTAATGTATCCATAAAAGCATTAAGACTTTAAATTAAACTCGATTCACCATTTTTATGTTCTGCTTGACTGATCAGACAGACCTAGACAAAGCGATTGCTACATACAGTACTGGGATGGGAAAACTTTTTTTTTTGGTCCGACTACACGACAAGCTTTGGCCGATGGGTGGGCTTGACCAGATCGATGGGGGTACCTTAATCCCCTTCCCACTCACTCCTCCTCCACTCCCACTGGCTCCGCCCCTGGTTCAAGAACTCCTGTAGACCAAACCCGGTGCCGTTACGATAATAATGCGGGAAATCCACTCACGCAGTTTATCCACAACAGTTTGTAGAGGGCGTTGTGTCGTCGAGCGGAACACAGTTTCAGTCTGAGTGGACTCTCTTCTGTTATATACTCTTTGATGCATGCAAGGCACCAAAATGACTATCCAGCAGCGTCTCATGTCGCAACGCTCTCTATATAGGAACTCTACCCACCTCTTCCGGCTGTTGCCCCCTCACTCCTCAAACATCCATCAGTGCAATTAGCGCTGACCGTTGGCCTAATTGTGACATACTGTACCACCCCTCCCCTCCTCCTCCCCCTTCCCCCACCCCACACTTCCCAGCCCATATTACACTTTTGTAGCGTTTTCCCATTGAACTTAATTATGATGATACGTATACAATACGACTATTATACACACCTGATTGAGAATATAGGCCTAATTCTTGAAAATCCAATCTGTGGTTGGGCTTATTGAGAACACAGTTTAGCCTGGCGATTAACAGCAAATGTAGAAATGCAACTATTACAAGTATTTTCGAAAAATGTCTCTTGAGGACGCCAAAAATGCCTCCTTCTTTCGTACACAACATCGTCACGTCTGAGTGTGCCTAAACATTATTCGCCCTACACTTAATGCATGCTTATATCAAGGACTACTTACTCCGTCTATTGAATCTATTCATCAATTATATATTCCTTTTGCACACAAAAAATTGTGCTATGAACTGTAGAACGAAAGAAAAGAATTAGATCTCATTGAGCGAACGGAAAATATTATTATGTTAATGATCTTATTCAACATAGACCATAACAATGGTGGTTGGCATCAATCGATCGTGCAACAGCGCATTATTTAGACAATTACATGCAGTTATCTGATTGTAGCATAAAATGCCACTTTTGTTCAGTGGTGGCACCAGCGGGGGCTGGGGGATTCCGTCGGAAAGAGGCCTGAACCAAGATCGTCGGATCAAAAATAATAATTTACCTATCCAGATAATGTTATTCTTATTGCCAATCCCATAATATTGTGGTCCAAAAGCACATTCTGGCTTATATTTAAGCCATACAAACTCGCGTGAACCCCACCCCGATGACAAATTTCTGGAGTCACCGCTGCTTCTGGGCCGATGATATTTAAAACAGATAAGGCCATTTACAACTATCTTGTCTAGCAACTAGCTGAGAAGAGTTCTTGGAAAAATGGAAATGCATACATGAAAACTCATTGGCAATATTTTTGGTTGAATTCTTACATTTACATCCAGCGTTATGCCCATTGAATTTGTTTAAATTGCCTAATCATTGAAAACATAAATTATGTGGATTAAATTATCATAGATAAAATAGATAATATTCAAATACATATTCCAGGTATCGAAATGCACACCATCGTGTTGGGATTCAATATTTCAACATTAATTATATCATCATTAGGAATGTAGTGACCTATACTACTAATTTCGGGTTGAACCATAGGCCTGAACTTGATGAATGTAATTTGGTCGTTGATGTTCAGAGAAGCGATTTCGAAACAATACCGTCTTCATATACACATTGAATAGGCCTAATAATGTATATAAAATTATTATTGACGTGAGTGGGAAAAACAGCCAGGAGAGAGTTAGTTAGATCATATGAGACACATCCAAAAGAATATCGGCACAAATTGGCTCTGACGGCTGACTGGTTCTCAGCCTTTTTCAAACTGGGGCCAATTTTTAACCGGTGCAAATGTTGCAGTCCTACCAACTGTCTTGATATGTCGAACATTTTAAAGGCTATGGTCCATCTTGATGCCCAAAAATAAAAATCTCATACGAAAATGCTTTTCATTACAGGAGCGGATCCAGCATTTGAAAGAGGTGTTCAAAATATTTCAAAAAAACCCCGAAATGAAAGGGGGGTCTGGGGTTCTTCCCTGGGAAAATTTTGATTCCTGGATGGGCGGAAATGAGCTTGTCCGATTTCTTAGGAATCTTAATGACCTTTAAGTTCTTCAAAATTCAACGTTTTCCCCCTCTTGAAAAAGGTCAGGTAATTTTATCTCATTCTTTAGGCCTATATATAGAGAAAAAAATCGAAGACATAGGAAATATATTATTATATTCCAACAATATTGAGTAGTTAGATATTTAGTCTTTCTTCCATCGATCGTTGAAACCGATGGGCATTAAGAACGCACTTTCGTACACACATTATTACGACGTCAAACCAAAAACAGTGTGTATAATTTATTTAATTGAAGACTAGTTAGGCTAAGCCTGTTTGTCTGGTCTGCCAACCTATGCCTAGGTAGATTATCATGCCTTTTTTAAGCCAGGACCTAATAGTATTTTGTTGCGCTTCTTCAAAGAGGGGGCTTCGTCCGAGACCTTCTGAACCCCTGAATCTGCCACTGCATTATGTTAAATTTTAAGTCATCAAACATACTTTTACTACCCAACCAAATGTTTTTTTATGGAAGGGAATCTAATTTTAAACAATGCCAGAAAAATAGACACTTACAGTGGACCAATGTTAAGTGCATCTTGGATTCTTTTTGTACGTGTTGGCTTATTAGTTAATGTGGTATGTTTAAAACAATAACACGATTAGTATACACGGCTAAATAAAGTAAGTGCCGAGTTGACTTGGGGCCGATATGACGTGGGACGAATCAGCTTGGTGACAATCAACCCATTATATGTGGTATAAATTTTTGTCTATAAATTGTGTTTGTGATGTTACTTCAATGCATTTTTTGTGTAATAACATATTAAAATAACATAATGCGAATCCATTACAAGACATCGTTATAAAATTACAGCTTGAACTTCACGACCTGAAAGCACCCTAGTCACGATTTCTAAATAAATAAATAAATATAAAATTAGTATCAAAATGAGTTTAGGGCACCGCAAGAAATGTAATGTCTAGGTAATTTTAGAGGGGATTGCTCGATTTCTTGTATTTTTAAGTTGAAAATCTGAAACTCGCAGTCCGTTTTTTAGTATACTGCGGTTGCGCAGCTGTGCTCAATGCGGCGCTGTAAGTTCATCGTGACTCTTTTTATTTCATTGTTGTTTTTTATTTTGTGACGTAACATCGTTGAATGAGATCATTAATACTATTATTTTTTGTTCGCTCATTGAGAACTGCTTGATTTTGTTTCGTTAAACAATGTGATGTGCTGCATTTCAGAACAAATATTATTATTATTTATATGTGTGTGTATGTGTGTGTGTGTACATATTTGAACATGACATGGATGTGTGCGTATATTTGCATCTTTCTCTTTGTTTACATATTTGATAATGACATATGTGCGTAGTGTGTATTTACAAAAAAAAAAAAATCAGATTTTCGAGATTTCTGGTTGGTCGGGTTTGACCAATAATTTTTATTTTTTGACTTATCACTGTCCTTGTGTCTTTTGACAATGGTGAACTAGTCACCTAGCCGACTCGTTCATTCATATCGGCCCCAAGCCAACTCGGTCACATGCATTATTCAGCCGTGTTATACTGATCGCTATTATTGTTTTAAACATACAACAGCAATAGGCCAACACGTATAAAATTGATGGCCTAAACTTCCCCAGCCATTCCAAGCCGTGTGCTATTCATATAAATCATTGTTTTCCTGAATTGATAGGAATATCTTTTTAAATTATTATTATTATTATTATTGTAATGTTTGTCATGTAATTTTATACGGATTTTTGCCACCGTTGGCTTTTGCAGGAAATGAAATCTTGATTCTTGACGTCACGGCGCAAGCGAAAACAATCATGCCTATAGTTAAACTATACTACCGTATTGTTTATGTGATTAATGTTATTTGTTTTGACCCATGCTTTATGATTCCAGCCTGCACCTTTGGCATGTAGGTCTTATCTGCGGGTTGTAGATGAGTTACGTAACATGGCAAATAAAAACAAAAACACAAACAACCAATAGGGGATCGTTTAAAGCACGAAGCAAATGAGCGTTTTATATAACTACATTTATTCGTTATATAACCAAGTGGAGCTAGACCTAAACATCAAGACCAAGTCGCCCCAGACCAACTTCCCCGACATTATATTAAGTACTACTTTGACACGCAATGGCTAACGAAATACAGATTATTGAGAGGGATTACGGCCTGTACTCAAGTACATACACTGAGGATCATAAGATTAGAGACGATCGATGCTCGCTGGAAGTCGGAGGACCGGGAGTCGATTTACTTCGTAGCGCAGCTCAATTCATGTTAAAAGCTACGGAGATAAGATTAGTAAGATTACTATTTTTTTTAATAATCTTTAAAACTCAAAAACTATGATCTCATTTCAACAAAATTTAATTTAATATTTTAAAAGTTAACCTTTTATGAATTTTTCCATTATGTTCTATATGTTTTTAGATTAAGTTTAGTTAAGGGGAAGCAAATTCTACCAACCTTCATCCACTAGTCATGATGACTATGTGACAATTTGGCCTTTTCACGAATTGTTTACCGACTTTTCATAAATAAAATATAATTGCTACATATCCCATGCAACAATCTGTACGAGACAGTTTTATTTATTATTATTATGTATGCCTGAGAAACAGACAATTATAATTATATTTATTCACTACAAAATGTATAAGCAGTTATGTTTCAAATGGGATGTTTACTGTTATTATGAATCGATGGTGGCCGGCAGTAACTGACGTGTTATATTACTGAATGCTCACTACGTTCCTAAATGCTTGCGAAAAAAATCTTGCAAGTGATTTTGGTGGAAATCGAACCAACGACCTTCAGATAACCAGCCTGGTGTCTTAACCACTGGACACAGAGCTTGTTCTTGGTGGTTAAGTCCTGAATCTGATCTGCCAAATAGCAGCTGGGACCGCAAGTGACTATCCCCATGGCGCTTTTCTTCATAAAAAAAAAATGATCATAAAATTTAGTTAATAGTTACCGGTATATATTGTACCGAGATGGAGGTCAATTCGCACAAAATTGGAAATATAAAATAAGAATTACAAAAGAAAAACACATTAATGGAGAGAGGCGGTGGTTAAATTTTGGGATCAAAGGGTCAATATGAAGGTCACAAAAAATTATGTTTGAAATTTTTTTTTCTGTATTTTGGTATTATTGGTATATAGGGCAGATGTGTTCACTCATATGGAGTGACTGCTCTAGTTATAATTAATATTTTATTTTAAAAAAGCTAACGTAAGTATTGTACTTTGCAAATATTAGTTTAAGTAAGCCTTAGGTCTGCTATCGTATAGTTCATTACTATGTATCATTAATATATATTTCTCAAGGCATTTAGGCCACAATGTGTAATATACTGTGAGAGGTTCACCAATTCCCCCCAACAGAGGGTTATGTTTACCTTGGCACAGCCTATTATGCTGGTACCATTTTATACTCCTAGGAGAACAAGAATTGATGTCAAATTATGAAACGTTTGACAGGATGATTTCTGATGATATATATCATCAAAACCATATATA